GGTGCAGCAGGCAGACGTGGTAGAAATAGAAGGAGAGAACAGTAAGCACCTGGCACAATGGAAAGGCCAGATGAAGGCAGCGTGGGCTGTTTGAGAGAGAGAGCGTGTGTGTGCATGTGCACGCACACATGTGTTCTTATCTGGGGATGCCATGGTGAACGTGTTGCCTCTTGAGCAGCCAGTGAAAGAAGGTTCTGATGAGCAGGGCCATTCCTGACAATGGCTTCTACAGCCTGAGAGAAACACCTGTTCGTTTCCTACTGCCGGCTCTTCCCCTCTCATGAATTATCACCCGATCACAACCCTTCAGCATTGAAATCTAGTGATATGTGATGGTTCTTTAGTGGGAAATCTCCTTGGTGTTGCCCTCTGTATCTGAGATGCCAGAATAAGAAGTCAGGCTATTATTTAGAGGGAATCTTCAAATGCATGAATTTTATCTAATGTGGTGTCCTGAAAAATGTGTCTAGAAGCCCTTGGGCACACTTTTGATTTAACAACAACAAAAAACTATTGATAGCCTTTCTTAATAATCTCCAAAGTAGCTAAATAAATTTGTTTTTTTTCCCCTCCTCTAATGTGTTCATGTAAATCAATCTCTCTTGCCTCCTCCAGCCTCATTTATTGGTTTCATTTCTTGTCTGTGAAAATTTTCCATTTGTCCTTGTTGTCCTAGCAAACAAATACTAAATACATACTCTAATAGTCTCTGGCTGTATCTATAAAGCCACAGGGATAGGAGGCTGAGGGTTTTTTAGTGAATTCATACAGGTTAGACAGAAGACATGGTAAAGCCTCATGCTGGAAGACCCTTTCATCCTGGGTCCTCTGCTGGACAACCTGTCACCAGGATGCTGTGGCAGGAAATGATTGATTTTTGTTGACAACCTCGAAGACCAAAAATGTAACCTCAAACATCCCATGTTCTTTTAGTAACTCATTAGAAATCTGTCATCCATGACTTCGTTTATATCTTTTTGAAGCTATTTTTACTTCTATTGAACAGGAGCCTCTTGTGTAATGAGTTCAACAATTTTACAACTTGTGACCTGATCCTGTCACCTGGGTGCACTACGGTGACTAGATTCACCACCCGGATCCACTCACACATTTCTCAACCTGCCTCACTTCTCCTTGGGCATTTTCGGTAGAACCAGAGTCACCAAAAAATGGTTGTTGGCAACCCCTTTGACTCACGTGCCTTATATATATGGGGCTCTATTCTGTCCTTCTTTGCTGTTTGATCTTGACAACTTTATCTACAGAATAATTTTAGGACTATGTTCTACGTGCAGAATCCAGATAAATACACATTTAGATAGTCTCAAGAGGATATGTGTGGGTTTGTTCTGTTTTGTGTGCGCGTGCATGTGTGTGTGTGTGTTGTTTTGTTTTCTTTTTAGGGTTATTTTAATTTATTTTGAAGGACCCAGAATGATAATGTATAATGAGGAAATATCCCACCAAATATACAGACACCTTGGAATTTCTCCCTCCTGTTAACAATTTTAAGGGCACGTATACGGAAGTTTCGTGTCCCAAACCTTAGAAAGCAAGAGCTCTTCAAGAACGAATCTTTCCTTACTGTATCAGCCTCTTCTCCTGTCTCTGTTAACTGCATTCTTAAGCTACCCTGGGCTATTTATTTGCTACTCCTGGAAAAGCCATGCTTCTTGTATCTCCACGCCTTGGCATATGCTGTTTCCTTTGCTCGGAATTACCTATGTTAGCTGCTAAATTGAACAGCTCAAAATCTAACTTCTCCACGAAATCCTATTCTCGGTTCTCAGGTGTCACATAAGTCACCCCTTAAACTGTAATCACATTGACCTTTGCTCACACCTTTATTTTAATAGGTCTTAGAATTGAATGTAATTTTTTCATTATGTGCCCATTATCTATCTAGACTATTAGTTCTTCCAGAGCAGAGACCACATCTTCTTATAATTAGCAATCTAGCTCATCCTGGTACAATAGGTAATGGAGGGGATATTTGTTGAAACCATGAATGATGGTGCACAGTAGTGAGAGGATTTCTATAAACTAATCCGCTCACTCACCCACATGCACATGCGCACGCCACACATTCGCACACCACGCACATACATTCACCACACACACGTGCACGTAGGTGCATGCGCAGACACACATGGGTCTAGGTAAACCAAAGCACAAGGCAGAGGCTGGGTGAAGTTATAGGTGTTAACTTCTCTGCCTCACCAAATCATCCATTTGTAATTTTCTGCATTTGTGTCCTTAATCCATTTTGTTCCTTGCCTGAAATAACGGATGCTTATTGCTACTTTTTCCCTTATACATTAGCCTAGATTTTTCACAAGGGAATTCATTTTAAAGATTACCGGCCTGGGATTTGCTTGTTCTACTTCAAAAGAACGTTCAGCCATTTTTATATACGCAATACAAGGATCCTAGGTGAAAAACATAAATACCCACACACGCTGCTTATCTCCACCTTCCGGAACATTAAATATTCAGGAAAATGAGGCCCACCATCGATTTTTCCATAATACCCCAATACGTATCATTAGTTGGCAATCTGTCAGGCAGGTTTCAACTCAAGTGACAGACTTCACGTTCAAATCAATTTCGATTAATTTTGCAAGAATCATTCAGAGAAACGTGGCATCAGAGCCCTGATTTAAATCAAGATGTATGGCATCCTCCACTTTTCATTTATCTTGTCATTTTACGAGGAAAATGCAGTCATTTGTCTGGCACTTTTTTATATACATATAAACCCATGCTGCTTATCACTCCTGGCTCCATTATCCCCAAGACAGTCACTTTTTTCCCTCCTAACAGTTGCTCCATTATTTTATTAGTGTCCAAAACGAGACCTCGCAGACAGTGATGATCAGAGAATAATGGAAATTAGAGATGGAAATGACAGATTAGGTCTCCTTGTCTGTTTCCTGGGGCTAATGTTCCTGTCAGTCTGCGACTCGATGCTTTAGCCTGTCTTATTTTAAATGACACCAACGTGGGGCCTCCACCAAGTCCCTGGAGGCTCTCGTCTACATCCTAAGACTGCCTCTACATGCAGCCAGAGGGAACGACAAACCCTGTGCAATTACCAAGTAAGGCCAGGCCCGTCCTCGCATGATCTGTCTGCAAGGCGAGGGATGTGGAGGCTTGAGCGATTAGCCACCAAATCCAATCACTGCAGAGGGCCAGCCTGGATCATTCAGGGCAAAAAGCGAAATGATATTTTGTCGTTGTTTTCTTCAGCAGCAAGTTTGCAGGCTAAGAGATAGAGAGCTGGTTATCCATCACCCTTTACAACATTTTACTCAGTAAGAATCCTAGCCAACCGAGATGCTCAGCCACCACAGAAGCTAATATCCTGGCTCCCCATCCACTATGCAAACGTGTCAGGGGTCAGAGAGTGAGGGGACTAAGGGGACTTTAAACAGCGAGTGGCACTCCTTTATTCATACGCCGCTTGACATCTATCAGCCAAGCCTTCTGCCCTCCCCACCCATCTTTCAACAAGACGCCACCTCATGTGCATTTACCCTTCTCCTAACACCTTCCTCCAAATCGTGGGGGGCAGCCTCTCCGATGCGATCTCAGGTTCAGTGGAAACAGAGCAATCCTTCATTTTCACTAACAGAAAAATTTCATGGCATTTTGACTTCCTCAAGTTTTCTGACCTGTGACTCAGATTTCCTTTCCCTAACTTCATTCCCTCTTGTCCTTATTCCTCAACCTCAACCCGTTCCAGAACATTTGCCCTCTTCTAACGTCGATGGGCATCTATCACGCCTTGACTTAGTCATCAGCTGGCCAGTTCTCTGAGTTGAGTTCTTCTACCCTTCGTCATAAATCACTCCCTTGGGCTCTTCAATCATTTTTATTGCTCTTCTCCAAACTCTCACCCATTTGTCTCCATATTTATTGCTTTGAGAGTCCAGAACTACATTCAATATTCTAGGCTTGGTCTCTTCAGAATCACACAGAAGGGGCTGATCATCAACCCCGGGGATATGAGTCCTCCATGCAATGTGCGAAATGATGGTGGTTCCTTTTTCCACCTTGTCAGGCTGCAAACACATTTCTAATCTGCAGAAAAGCAATCACTCTCAGATGGCTTTTGCCTTGATCTCTTTCTAGTTTTCCCTGTTCCATCGACTGCTATTATTAGTTAGTGTTTATTGACCCCTTTCTCTATCCACTCTGCTCCATGGGGGAGCCAACACAGACAGCAAGCTCTCAGCACCCAAGACAAAGTAGAAAGTTGCTTCTAAAAAGCAAGAGAAGACGCACAGCGGTGACGGTTGCACAACAATGCGAATGTCCTTAATGCCGCTGAATGGTACACTTAAAAATGATGAAAATGGTAAGTTTTATAAGATGTGTATTTCATCACAATAATTTTTTTAATGTAAAAAAAAAATAAAAGAAAAATCCAAGACACGATAACTTCTATCCCAGTCATGTGTGCTTGGGGGAAAGCAAAGGTCTCCGAAAGAAATGGTTACTGGGGATCCGGGCAAGATACCCTTACTTGGTCCCGAGCATTCCCATATTTCCCCCTTGCTGACAGTGGTGGGGAAAACGAGTGTCTCCTCATGTCAGTCTCACAAAGCCCCTTGAGCTCTGGGAGAGCTCCACGGGAGTCTGTGTGGCTTCGTGTGTCTCCAACAAAATCAACAGCTAAGTTCTGCCTGTGGAATCCTGGTGGCTGGCGGTAGAATGCAAAGGAGGAGAGGGACAACTTGATTTTCAGATCCCAGCTGGAGGCTGTGGGGCTGCGAGTCAGAGGCATCATCTCTGAACTCGTAAATGGAGAAAAAGATGACACGGACGTCACTGGAATGGTATAAATATGGAAATGCATGGTGACATTTTTACCCATTCGCTATTCAGAATATAACCACCCCTTAGCTCCGTTCCTCTACACGCAATTGTTCCGCGTCCTGTCTGCATGAAGAAGGGTGACATCTGGGAACCGGCTCATCTGCCATCCCCTCACTTACCCCTGGTTTGTGCCCCATTCATTCCGAATGCAAAGATGCTTGTGTACTGGATCCTTCATGTAACCTTCGTAGCAAAGGCATTCCCCTTAGAAGCAGGGTAGGAAGAAGGAAAAGAAACATGAAGGAATTGATTAACATGTCTGTTTGAGAAAATGAACGTGAAATGATCAGATTAAACTCAGACTCTAATAATGGTGTGGAAGAAACAATAAATCCCATTATGTCACACATCCCCGTCTCTACTGCCCACGGAATGAACACACCCCCAATCTCTCCATTTTCCACTACGTGCTAATTTTCTCTAGTGGAGGAATCTAACATTTGCAAAGAGCCTACTATATGTGCTCGGTAAACACAAAAACGAGAACTCTAAGCAAAAGAACTTTTTCAACCGTGTTTTCTCAGCGCCAAGTCTACTGCAAGGTGCATATTAGGTGATCAAGAAGTATTTAAAGAGCACATAAGCGATGTATTTCATCAAATATTTCTAAGAAACTTGAAAAGTAGGTATTATTAGCTCTGCTATGCTGATAGGGGAAACTGAAGCTCAGAAAAATTGAGGGATCTGGAGACAGCTTATAAATGGCAGAGTTCATATTTGAGCTTATGACGGTCCATCTCTGGACCTTTATTCGCACCATGCCAGGCCATTAGCCCATAGAACAATGACATACTTAGAGGAGGTCACTTATACTTCTTATGGTTTTCTAGGAACTCTGGGTTTTCGTTTTTAAATGAAAATGGCTAATTATTTTGGAGCTTTTAAACAGAAGAACCATCCACAATTCTATATTTGTTTAGAACATTACTATGCTTCCTTACCATTAGTTACTCCATTAATATACCAAGCGGTCCACAACCCCTTTGGAACTGTATGCAACACCGTGTGTGTGTGTGTGTGTGTGTGTGTGTGTGTGTGTGCGCGCGCGCACATCTCCTCACAGCAGGATTCCATAACATTCTTCTGATTTACAAGCAAAATCAAGACCCCCAAGGATTAAGAATCATTGCTCCACTTAGTACTGATCTTGGAAACATTTGCTGCTGTGCCCTTATATTAGTAATCCTTAAGCAATGCTGTGTATCCCTAAACTGCTGAGACCGGAGCCAGTGTAGCACTCGTGTGAATTCTGTCACTGGCTGGTTAGTTCATAGGTAGTAGAAGGACAGGGTATGACTTCCCACCATTTGTAAATAGTAAAAGTAGCATGCCTTGAAGAGACAAGGGACATAAGGTTTCCTCATCTTTCTAGGAAGAGACTCTAAAAAGGGATATACATAGCTTGGAGTATGATTTTCTGCTTTCCAAGATAAAAAAAACAATAAAAATGAAGCGAGGGGTCCCCACCGTCCTAGAGCGAAGGGACTGGGTAGGTTCTAAAGGAAGGAGTTTTTTGTTGTTGTTGTTGTTAGGATCTAAGGTTAATCTTTCTTTTCCAGATGGGCCTATAAGCTACTGACCATCAGGGCCCCACTACCAGGTAACATCCATTTTCTTCCCCCACACCTGTTTAGCTCAAGGTGCTGAGGAGTGGATTGACAATTAGTTCACTTCTTAGTTTAGGGGGTGTCCACACAGAGTATGAGGTTAGTACTTTGTCTCCTGTATGGGAAACTCAGGCTTCCACGTGGGCTAGATTCACAATAGGCTCAAATTTACTGGCTTCAGTGGTGCTGAGCTATGTCCAAGAATGGTCAGGGAGCTAGGAGTGAAACATAGGAAAACAAAGCTAGAAACCAGGGAAATGATAATAAAGCTTTCAGATGAATGATATTTCTCCAGGAGAGAGGAAGATAAAGAAGGCAAGTACCAGAGGATCATCAAAGAAGAAAATTACTAAGGGGTCAGCCTTCCTATCTTACCAATTCCAAAAAAAGCATGGACTTTAGACTATAAGCCACACAAGGGCAGGAACAAAGTTAGGTTTTTTGTTGTTGCTATTGTTTTGTTTTGTTTATTTGCATAAACAGGGATTTTATAAACTGTGCAAAATGGAAAACTGATTACATCATTTCAAATTTTGCCCTGAATTTACAGACAACACGACCACCACCAACTCTCAAGATGCAGAGATAAAAGGCAACTAGTGGGTCTAGTTCACAGACAGGCTTCTCCCTTCAGGAGATCATTTCCCAGCTGTCCCTGTGGACATCAGACGTGGGTAGGACGTTGAAAAACAGGAAGTAACCTCATGAGGCTGCTGAGCCCATCACTCCGACTCTTAGAAGGGTCTTGGCTGGAGGCCATGCCCTAGACTTAAGGATTGACCAAAAAGATCCTTCCACGTTCGAGATCTAGTTACTGCAAAACATGTAAAAATAAATGCAGTAACAACTGAGAGTTCAAGCAAAGCCTGATTTTCCTAATGATGGCAATACCTACCATTTGTAGAGTACATTCACCTTTCTCAAATTGCCTTCACAGTCATTATCTCCTTGTGAGGTTCCATCACTCATTACCACGTGGGGACCCGCTGCCGACAACAGATAGAGCTTCCCTCCGTCTAATGTCACATGCGGCCCAAAGCCGGAGCAACAGAGACATTTTCAAACATACCAGGCTAGAGTTTGAGGATATCCAAAATCTGCCTCTCAAACGATCCTCATTTCCGGGACCCACCAAACTCCCCCCTTCTGTATTCCTCCTCAAAACCAGTTGGGCCATCTACACGGAAAAGGAGTTCAGACTTGACGAGGGAAGTTGCTATGGCAACCAAATGCTAAATCTTGACTTTAAGAGGGGTTTCATGCGAGCACAAGCTCCGACTGTTAGCTGTGAATTTTAAAGACCCCACAAGGGTGTTGGATGCCCTCCTAAGCTCGAAGTGTTACAGTCTCTGCATCTGCTGTGACAGATGGCGGGGAACACATGACGTGCCGGCTCTGTGGTGGTGTTCACAGGAATCCAATGGAGAGACGTGTCACGGCCACGGAGAGGTGCCCAACCGGGATGGATTGTGCCCTGCAGGAGGCACGCACAGGCCACCACACTGCCAGAGAGTAGAAACCCACCAAGAGGTGATCCAGGCAAGGCCTGGAAATGGCTACACTTGATTTGTGCTTGCTACCCTTGAGGTCAAATGCCTTGAGGTAACTTGCATGGTGCCCCTGCCTTCCCTCATTCCCCATTCTGTAGGTGAAGGGGTGAGGTGCAAATCTCATCGAAGGATCAACCTTGACTTACGGGCTCCTCCGACATGACTGGGCTGGACTTGATGTGGCCAAAAGCCCTGACTTACCTATCCTCCAGGTAGCTGTTGGCTTTTATTAAATGCAACTGGCTGGTGTGCTCCATCGAAAAAGGGCAATCTCTGTAAGACATCTGGACTACGGTGACATCTAACCTCCTGGTCTCCTCCCCTGCGGAGACATCAGGCAAGAGGCGGGCCCAGAGTCAAACGGTCCCATGTGACCCTGGGAGGGAAGGCAGGGAAGTACGCAGTTGCACATCCTGAAGGAAGGGGTTTTAACGGAGTTTGGAATGAGTGGGTGATCCAGGTGGCAAGAACAAAATTGAAAGCCATGCTACTCTGCCAAACTGAGTTCAAGAGAGAGAGGCAGTGGTTCAGATCGAGGAAAGGGGAGGAGGGCTCCACTGAGTCTGGGAAACTGGACCAATGGCCCTTGCCAGGTTTTACACGTTTCTCTATGGTTAGCACTGGCCTCTAGAAAGATCTGGGGTGGAAAGAATTTTGGCGAATGGCAATCTTGGATAGCCAGTAAAATCTGATTTAGCTTGGATGCCCGTGCTGCTTGTAGACCCATAAAAGCTACATATCTTGCAAAGGGCAGTCAGCGTCTGTGGCCAGGATTGACGGGGGCTGTGAAATCAAGCAAGTGTGTGTGATGCCTCCACAGCTGCCCAACTGGCAGAACAAAGTCCGGGGATGGAGTAGTGAGAGAAGTTGCTGAATCCAGCTAGTCTGTGTTTCCATCAGAAAACAAGCAATCGGGCAAACATACAACTGTAAACAAAAACCCTTAGAAAGTACAGCAAAAGTCAACCTCTGGCTGGATCCAACCAGAGCACTAAGCCATTCAACCTCAGTGGCTTGCCATTAGCCCACCCGGACCTGAGACACACCTCCGGTTCCAAACCTGGGCAGATCTGGGGGAGAATGTCAGCGTGCACTTGGCCGAGGGCTTCCAGGCACCGGGCTAAGAGCTCCAGGTACGCTACATCTCTCCCAGAGAGTGTGTTGCTACAACGTAGGAGGGAGGCTGACATGGAAAACAGACCAGCAGGCTTCCTCCAGCTCATTCTTCTGGAGACCCCCGATGCACGTTTAGAAGATCCGTGTAGCCACCTCTATGAACTGGGCTGGGAGCTACAAAGGGTAACGTTAACGATGATCGTTCTTTCTCTGCCCTTTCCCTCCTTCTGTTTCTACAGGTGCCATAAAAATGACCACAACCTTCACGGCTTAAACAACACTGTTTTATTATCTTACGGTTCTGTAGATCAGAAGCCTGACATAAGTCTCGGGGGGGGGGGGGGGGGGCTACAAACAAGGTGTCTGCAGGCCCACATTCTTTTTTGGAGCCTGGAGAGGAGAAAGCTGTTTCCTTGCCTTTTCCACCTTCTGGAGGTTGACCACATTCCTTGCCTCGTGCCCCTTTCCTCCAGCTACACAGCCAGCAGTGGCTGGTGGGGTCCTTCTCGTGTCGTATCATCCTGGCCTCCTCTTCTGTCTCCCTCTTCCACTTTTTAAGGACCCTAGTGATTTTACTAGGCCCACCTGGTTGACCCAGAATATTCTCATTCTAAAGCCTGTTGTTTAGCCACCCGGATTCATCTTTGCCACGTAACGTAACTCACTCACAGGTCCTGGGGAAGAGGGGGACAACATCCTTGGGGGATATTCTGCCTACCACAGCTGCTATTCTGGACCACTGTGCAGGTGATGCGTAAACGCATGCTTAACTTTGGGACATTCTGGAAGGTTGCCTAAGGAGAGCTCCAGGCCCCAGAGGATGCTCCTCTGCAGTGACTGAGCGTGCGTGTTTGTGTGTTCGTGCGTGTGCGTGTGTGAACAAGTACACACGTGCACTTGCACTGTTCCACATCTCCATATGGGCAGACCCCTCAGCATGGCTGGGAAAGCACACGTCCCAACACGGTGACATTTCCAAGTGAGTTAGCTGGAGGATTGCAAAAATAACGTCGGCTTGACTTGCAGCCAATTCCCACACTCAGCTCTTTGGAGAAAGGCTCTAGGACGGAGTGTGGGAGGCGATAAAGTTTCTTACTGATGAGCGTGTGGGATGACCACATCGTCCCACGTGCGGGAAGAAGCAGGGCAGGAAGGGGGAGGGTTTCCAATTCCAGCATTAATGAAAACAAAAGTCTCCGAAGCAGCACTTCTCAGCTGCTACCCCAAATGAAGATGATGCACCTTAGCTCTGCTGTGGGGTTTGGGTTCCTCTCTGCAGTCTCCCGCATGGCTTTCCAGTTGGCTATTCATTAATTGTCACAGATACGGGGAAGCCACTGGCAGAGGAGGGCTTCCCAAAGTCATTTTCAGCAAGGATTAGCAATGAGACGTCTAGGAAGACTGAAGAGGGAGGTGATAGGAACTTCGCTGTGGACAAGCAGGCACCCGGTTCCTGGCTTGGGGAGCATGCTCAGTATAATGATGGTTGTTTGCATAGTTTTCAGTGACAGATATGCTGGATCTGACATGTCTGGGGAAATCAAGCAACCCTTGATAATCCCACCTCTGCTCTGACTTCATGATGGATGGAACACAGACTTATGCCTTAGGAAGCCGTGGGGGCTTTGAGTGAGTTATGCACCTTCTCGGGGAATTCACACATCGATCTAAAGTAAGAAGGTCGTTTCTCTCTAAGACCCCTCCATGCATAAAACACCAATCCCTTCTCCCCACATGTAATTAAAAGTGCTTTCTGCTCTTTAAAACCTCAGTAGAGAAGAACAGACATCATGTTTTCACTCATATGTGGATCTCGAGAAACTTAACAGAAGACCATGGGGGAAGGGAGGGGAAAAAATAGATACAAACAGAGAGGGAGGGAGGCAAACCGTAAGAGACTCTTAAATACAGAGAACAAAATGAGGGTGGATGGGAAGGTGGGGGAGAAGGGAAAATGGGTGACGGGTGTTGAGGAGGGCACTTGGGATGAGCACTGGGTGTTGTATGTGAGCCAATTTGACAATAAATTATATTCATGAAAAAATAAATAAATAACACCTCAGTGGCGCCTTCCAAGGCCCTCTGGGGATCATGGTTCTCTCAGAAGTGAATTTAACAGCTCAGCTTGTCCCAGGATCTCCCAATCCAAGTCAGTGGTGGGGACCAGAGACCTGCTGCACAGAGAGGCCCCGTCTTGGACATGAGCCGCTTTTCCGTTCTCCCGAGCACACTGGCTTTCGGGCAGGGTGCACAGCCCATCTGTTTGATTTGCTGTTTGCCTGACAGCGTGGGAGGAGCAGTTAGTAGGCACAGTCTTAGACATCAGATGTTTAAAATGCTGTACTTTCTCTTCCACACGCGGGCCTGGAAGACCTGTGATGGGCCCAGGTGAAAACTCTTAGACCTAAGAAGGTGAACTTTAGCCATTGTCACCACCTGTTACTCTCCCAAAGACATCTAGCAATGGTTGTGACAGAAGTAAGGCTATATCTCCTGGACTCAACCTCTACTAATATCCCTCCACCCCAGCACCTAAAGAAGATACACCCATGGTGGGGTGTGTGTGTGTGTGTACGTGAGCATGTGTATGTATGTATTTATGTGTGCCTGTGTATGTATATGCATGTGTGTACGTTTGTATATGTGTGTGCCTGTGTATGTCTGTGTGTACTTGTATGTGCATGTGCATGTATATATGTAACTATGTGTGCACACGTGTGTGTAAGTGTACGTGTGTGCACATGCATGCATGCATATGTGCGTGTGTGTGTACGGTGTGTGTGCGTGTGTGTGTGCACACGTACGTGTACACGTGTGTGTATGCACGTGCATGCATATGTACGTGTGTGTGAATGTGTGATGCATACGTATATGTGTATGTGTGTGCACATACACAGGCATATATGTGTGGTATGTGTAGTGGAGGTGAGGGGCTGTACGTGAGGTACGGAGAGTGGGAGCAGTTGGCCCCTAACTCCCCACATTTCCCTTGGGGGTCTTAACTATCATTACACCCCTTCCTTTGTTCTAAGGCATCATACTATTTCTCTGGGAAGGATCTATCTGTAGAACCGAATCTACTGGAACCAGGTCTTTATAACGACTACTGGAGATGAACCCTTTCTGCAAGAAAAGCGCACAGCAACCTGGAAGGAGACGCCCACACTCCTCAGTTTCCTGAAGCTCACAAAGCTCTCAGAGCCGTGCATGAATATAGACCCTCTCAGGGAGCCCCACCCCATCTAGTAACATGACAGCCTGGAAGATGTCTCTCTCCTTTGCCCCAGTAACCCCTCTCCTAAGATTCATCTGAAGACTATAACTTCAGATGTGCCCTGCGTTTATGTGGAAAGACATTCATTTTGGTAGTATTTGTAAAAATTAAAAATTTAAAGCATCCTAAATGTCAAATAATAGGGAACTATTTAAGTGAGCTATGATATAGACGTACAATGGAATACCAAATAGCCATTAAAATTATGTTATTGACGATTATTTAATAGTTCTGGAAAATTTTCATGATAAAATGTTAAAGTGAAAAAAATCAGGGAAATGCTATTGGACTTTGTGTGCTTATGAGTCTCTGAAAATCATGCACAGATAAAGATCGGAAGGGACATTACGATTTTAAAATGATTTCTCCAGAAGATAGAATTATAGATAATTATCATTTTCTTCAATGAGCTTTCCTAACTTTTCCAAATTTTCTGCGATAAACATGCATAAAGAGTCTGGCCCCAGTAGCTGACATCCAATGGATGGATGGCAAATGGGTGTGGAGGTCATCTTAAACGGGTCCATACAGAGTGGGGGTCCCAGAAAAGATACTTCCAAGGCTTCTGCCAGAAGATGACACATTTTAAGCCCACATGCTCGGGGGCCCAACACTACACCGGCAGCTTGCACGGTCTAGACTCCCAAAGGCAATGGAAAAATTGGGAGAGACGGTCTGGGTTTCCAGGGGAGTGATTGCAAGAGGCATGAACTCTGACAGTTACCCGCTGCCCGGTGCTCCCGCCTACCAGTTTCGGGGTCGCACTGGTGTTCACAGGGGTCCAGGAGCCGCCGGGCACAGAGGTCCATGGCCCAGGGCCCACTGGAGTTCTGCTGAGAGAAGAGCACCACTTGGGCTGGGTTCAGCCAGTCACTGGCATCCAGCTGGCTCCCCTCCAGCAAGATGAAGCGGCTCCCTGCAGGAGAGAGAGAGGAGGTGTGCCTGTGTGTGCATACAATGGGCACACGTGTGCACACACACACACACATACACACGCCACCGAAGGCAGAGTAAGGGACGCTCTGCAGAATACCCCAAGCCGAGATCACTACTCCTACCAGCCCCGGCCTGTCATGAGCCCCCGAGCAAGGGATCAGCAGATGGAGGCTCGGCCGCCACCTGGACCTCCTGCCACACCGCCCCCTGGTGCCTTGCCCCGTCCCGTCTCGGTCAGGGTGGACCGAGGGAATCCTGGGACACAGAGGCTCTGTGATGGCCATGGCATGGCTCCATCAGACCCAGCCACAGGCACTGGCGCTCGCCCAAGGAACAGGGACCCGCTGCCTTGTCTCCTCCACATGCCACAAAATAGCAGGCCCTCTCACACCAGGGACAGTCCCCACCTGTCTTCAGCCTTAGAGCAGCAGAGAGAACAGACATTATACAAGTCAATTCGGTGCTCTGGGCTTAACAAATTCAGGGCCTCTCAGAACCTGTTTCACTCCCTCATTATATTGGGGTCCCCCTGGATGAAAGTAAATTATCGCTTCAGTGTTCTAGGCTTTAGCAAGTTACTGCAATTAGGAGTTTCTCACCCGGGCATACCCAGACCGAAGCATGGCTGGTTCGTAATCACCTCCTCTCCTCCGCTTAGCCTCTCCCTTCCCAAAAGCCGGGAATCTCAGTGTCGATCTACCTGTATCCAGCATGCTCTGTATTTCTCTACAAAGACAGGGGCTTATTTTAAAACAAAGAGAAATGAGAAACTGGAGTGGGTACAGAGAAGAGGAGGTAATCTGTTCAGTTTTATGGTTGTTTCTTTTTTAACCTGCTTTCTGTCCTCATCTGCGGACAATCCAAATTTGTCCTAAGCCTCACTTATCTGGGTTTATTTTTCCCTCGCTTACAGTAACAAGTCACAGTGACCCCCGGCTTCCCTATCTTCCCTGTCCAACTCGAAAACTTCCCCTTTGGGGAGGAAGCCACATCCTCGGAAGTGAGCTCACCATCGGCGATCAGGTGCTCGGGGACGTGCAGGGTGATTTTGACAACGAGGGGGCAGCTGACGTGGGACGAGCACACGAGACCGATTACACAGCTGGTGATGCTGATCAGCGTCAAGGTGGTCTTATTCACAGGACTTCGGGGGGAGCCCACTGGAAGCAAGATACAAGCAAGACACGTGGCGGTAAGAATCTTGGCAGAGGGAGGACAATTCGGCCTGTTGCTGCCCGACCAGCAAACGGGGGAGGCAGTGGGCAAAGCTAGCCCAGGCGGGAAATGTTTCAGCTCACGACCCCAGTGAGCTTCATCCTCGAGCAACACCATGTCGTCAGCTGGAGTCACAGGGGCCTAGCCTACTGGTGGCCCTCAGGGTGAACAATGGCCAGTCATGTGCACGTTCTCTGCGCTCGTCCTGGGGCAGGTTCACAAAGAAATCATAGACAGAAAGGAGGGCATTCTCCCCTTCCACCCCCTCCGCTGAGCTCCAACCTCTTGGGTGACTCTTCCTCTCTAGGGCCTGGAAAGAGGAAAGCCTCTCTGTATGAGCAGAGGATGTTGTCATGCCGGAAGGGTCTCCCCAAGTCCTGCAGTCACTGGGGTAAGGTTATAAATGGCAGCCTAGTGAGAACATAATAATGCTGAGAAGAAGACACCTTCCCAGGCAGGTGTGGACAGGAACGGGAAGGAAGGTTTTCTTGGTGCGTTTTTGTTGGTTTCGTTTTGGGTTTTGTGGAAACGACAAATGGTAGTAACAAGAGGGACCTTTCACCTGGAGGCAGAACAGATGTGGGAAAGAAAGCAAGTTGCCAACAAATATGTGTCCTTTGTAATTTTCTCATCATCTGATCTGCGTTGGCATTTATTAGTGCTAGAAATAAAATGCATCTATTATGTCAGACTGTGTGCTAAGTGCGTTGCATACATTGTTTTGTTTTTATTATTTGCTTCCTTAGGATGAATCTGTGAGTCTGTACAGTAACTACCCACTTCACAGGTAAGGAGAATAAGTCTCAAAGAGATTAACCTCACAGCAATAGTTAAAACTCATGAAGCGTAATTATGTCCGGCGCCAGTGCCCAGGCTTTATGTGGCTCGTATCATTTAAAGTGACCACAGTGTGAGGAGGAAGCCCCCACAGAGGGACAATCAGAGAGGCGACGGGGCACGTCCAGGGTCAAGCAGCTACTAAGGAACAGGTCCTCGCCCCCGGACGAGGCACTGCTCCATCTCTGGGGGCCAGGGGAGTCTTTGGAACCGCTGTTCTCAGGACCACAGGGAAGGTTTGGGTCCACGGCTGCACCCACCCTTTACGGCAGCACGTTCCCTGAGCGGGCGAGCCGGCAGTAGCTGGGATGACAGACTCCAGGGTGGCAGGCAGACTCTGGGTCCTCGGTCCCTTGCTACCTGGAGACATTCTATTCATGTTAGCGGCCTTTCAACGAGGGGTCTGTTTTCCCACACCTACAAATCTCCCTGGGCCACTCAGGCCCACACCGGGCCTGAGCACATCTACCTCCAGCATATCCCCCAGGTGCTCGAATGCGAGACTGGACTCTCCCTCTTCCTCCGATTTCCATCACCTGGAGAACGGCACCCTCGGCGACTCGGGTTTCTCAAGTGGGAAAACTCCATCCTCTGTTCCAGAAGCCACACCCTCCACCACCTCCAGTGCCATTAAATCTTTTCTCCACTGGTGTCCAAAGTTCCTCTTGCCTACATTCTCTCCATCCCTACCCACGCCCAGCATTGCACACCCGGACCGCGGCAACAGCCATCTGCCCCGTCTCCCTGCCTCAACCTCCCCCACCCTCGCCTACCCTCCGCCCCGGCCCAGAGGCACACTTCACGAAGCAGAGCAGACCAGGGCCGTGCTCTTTAAAAGCCTTCTGTGATGCCACCTGAAGTGCTAGGTTCAAGTCCTCCAGTCGAGGCGTGTGATCTTCCAGCCTTAGCTCCTAGCAAACCGCAAGCCTGCACGATAAGCTTCATTCTAGTAAACTCTTTACCACTCTCTGACTAGACCATTATCGTTTATGCCTCTGTGACTTTGCACATATCATCTCCTCCTCCGCAGAATGCCACTTCGTCACCTTGTCAGCCTGGCATACACCTACTCTTCAAGTCTCAGCTCAAACAACATCTCCTTGTAAACACTTCCCTGAAACCTTTAAGAGCAGATTCTCACTCATTCCGGGCTGTTCCTTTAGCCCTGGGTGCACCCTGCTGTTATAGCTTTTATCACACAGCGTTGTCACTGTTTACTCATGGGACTTCAATAATTTGCTACTCCTCTTCCCGTCTCTCTGGTCCTTCTGCGTCGTCAACCCATCATCCAGCGTCTCTACCTGGCTTCAAAATTTCCAGTCGTTCTCTGTGACCTACAGAACCAAGTGCAAACTCACGGCACACATATAATCCTTTGGTAGCTGGCCTGTTATCCTGCCCCATCCCTACTGTCCCGTGTGCCCATATACTGACACCCCGGATCATAGCTGCCACATTGAACACTCTTCCTTGCTTTAAAATACCAGGTTCTTTTGTGCCTTCAAGGCTTCACATATGCTATTTTCTTACTAGAACGCCCTTATCCCAGGGCCTCCTTTTTCAAGACATTCTATACATTGTATATAACCCAGGTCTCCTTATTTTCTCCTTCTTTGCCTCCTATTGCTGCCAGGTAGAATGACCTGTTCTGTCTTCTGAGAACTCACTTTACCTTATTTATAATACTAAATTAAGCCTTATCACTGTGCCATGTTTTCACGTTTCTACCTCCTATCACAAAGCCTGACCTATGGCAGGTGCGTTATAAAATTTCTTGCTGGCCTGATTGATGTATTCTGTTCAATTCAACAAACACTTACAAGCATCTATTATAGGCAAAATCCTTCACAAGGCACTTTGGAAAAATAAATTAGACATGCCCATCCCTAAGAAGCTTACAGTCTAGTTAATAGCAATAAACAGTTGATGTACTCGGAGAGCTCGGTATTTTAAAGGAACAGTTTTATGCTGCAAAGAAACTCATTCGAATTCATTACTACGGATTTTCCTAAAACGGGATTTTCTTAAAGAAGAACACACCCTGCTCTGGGTTGGATGGGCCTAGGTTGACTATCTGCTGTGTATAAATATGTAAAGAGGATCAAGGGATCCACATTCTCACCCTCAGGGATACTGGGGCATCAGACGTTAGGCCCAGAGCCCCACTCATCTCTTGTGAAAAATGGTGGGAAGGATTTTTGTCCCGATATTAGCAAAGCTTACAGAAACTGGAAATGAGGAATTAAAAGGGCTGCTTCCAATCCCTGGGGAGAAGGCTCTCAGCATGGAGGAAACTCAAGTGGAGGTAGGAGAGAGCCAAATGAGAATGTCTTTTGGGGGGCATTGGTCGATCATTGGTCGGGGGAAATGCTATGGAGCATAACAGGAGGGATGCCACTCAAATATCTTCCACTGTATCCCAAGGGGCCCCTGTCCAAGATTCTTTAAGATGGGGTGCTGTACAAGCCTGAAACTACACCGTGGAGAGGTCTAGAAGCCACATCAATGGGACTGCATAGCGCTCTGGCGGTCACCAAAAAGGGCACATTTTAATACAATTTAATCCCGACAGTAGCCCTGTGCATGATGCATTGTTAAACACGCTTAACGTGTGGGGAAACGGGAGGCTCAGAGAAGTTGTTGTCCTTATCCAACATCCCACAACAAGTCAATGGTGAAGCCTGTGGAACCCAGACCTCCCTCGGTGACAACAGTGGTACCAGCAAGGGCATATAGGCGGTGGCGATATCTACGAAGTATCTATAACAGCCATACTTGAACATCGGGTGGCCTGGAACAGATACCGGCTGTGCGAAGTAACAACTCTGTCAGTGGTGAGGGGAGTGAAGGAAATAACCGGGGCCCTGTCGGGAGAGAGGAGGCGACCTGGGAGGCTTGGGGGTCCTGCGGTTCTTCCAGATAGAGGATAAAAGGTCAAATCCCACAACACACGTATGTCAGGCCACAGATCATTCCTCAAGCACGCCATCCCACAGCCGCCGCCTCGCCCAGTCCCCAGGCCGGTGTGGCTGGGTAAGCACGAGTACACGCACTGTCCGCTTTTTCACATAAAATGCACTTTATCAACTTTATTTCCTGTGTCTAAACACCAAAAGAGGACTCCTGAGGCTTCCAGAAGGAATTGAGAGTCTTCTGACCAAGAAATAGCCTTTCAAACAACTTCAAAACTTGTTTGAGAGTGCCATTATCTGGGAGAGATGATTCTCCGAAATTTTCCACTCTAGGCTCTTCTTTCTTCCTTAGGAGGAAACACCGGTCGTGATCCAAGAACGCTTCCTGCAGAAACTGGCCTTGGTGCACACGGCCCCCAACCCGACCCAGAACCTCTGCAGCAACCTGCCTCCTCTCCCCAGTGCCCCGTCACCCGCTGTGCCCCTCCATCCTTCCCACCTCTGCTGCGCCTCCGGCTCCTGGAGGGGTCGGTGTAGAAAGTCAGCTGGGGGTCGTTTTCTGTCTCTGTGCCAGAGTCTCCTTCAGGGTTCAGGAAGGCGGAACCAGCTGTAATGAAAAGCAGCACAGCAAAGTCGACATCTTCAGTTTTTCCTTCATGACACCCAATCACTGGGCAAGCTCGAGAGAAAAATCGATAGAAACAAGAGCGGGTTGACTGACAATCTGGGAGGGGTAGCCACGGACACTGGAGCTTCCTGATATACTGATTTATTGGAGAAGTGGACCTTTTCGCGACGGCACTCACTAGCACCTTCTCCGCCCTGCCCGTGCTCCCCGCAAGGAGGGACAGAGAGCCGCACTGCCAGGGAGGACCTTCATGGATGGAGGCTGGGAAAGGAAGGAAGGGAAACTGCCCTCCTCAAAAGCGAAGACATTCTGTTTTTGCTTTTTTTTTCTAGGGTTAATATACATTCCACGTGAAAAAGAGGAAGTAATAAAATACATAGAACTGTGTAAAGGGAACAAACCAGTGTCCTCTAAACCCTGGCAATCAGAGAAAAACTGTTAACATTCGACGTGTATGCTCTCTTTTTCTGATACAGAAACAGATAAAGGTTTCTTAATGTCCCCTTAAAAATGGCATTTTGCTGTACCTTCAATTTTATAGCCTCGGGTTTTTTTTCCATTTAATAAATGGGCGGGCAACTTTCCATATTAACAAATATGGATCTATATTATCATCTTAAATGGCTGCATGGCAAGCCGCTGGACAGCAGACAGATGTGCAGGTAGTTAACGGATTCCCTATTGATGGACACTTAAGCTATTTCCAATTTTTCGCTCTTTTAAACAATGTGGTGATGAACAGCCTTTTACACACATCTTTGCGCACTTGTCCAATTATTTCCTGAGGATAAATTCTTGTTTATGAAATCACTTGGTCAAAGGGTTGATATATTTTTTGGGTAAGTAACACTTAACAGGCCTCCAGAAAGACTGGGCCAAAAACACACCCCCCCCCCCCCCCCCCACCCAGCCGTGCCTGAGAGTGGGGGCTCCAGGATATTAATGGTTCGGCCTCTACGCATAATCCACCTCCAAGCCCTAACATGAGACACTGATACCTCTTGCCTTGTTGTTGATCCGCTTTCTCTGGCTACTGGAGGTGTGCGAGAGCAGGGTGGCCTGCTGGTGATTGGAATCCACGGGGCTGGTGGCGATGATGTTATCTTTGTACTTATTCATCAGCGACAGCTTGGCATTGTCGCTTCCTGCGTAAGGGAGAGTCAAGGCAAAATCTTTCAGAGAAAAGGCCAAAAGGAAGCGAGAGCCACGAAATCTGCATGAACCAAGTAAACGGAGTTTCACAGAATTGAGATAAGGAACCTTTAAAGGGAGAGATTGTCAGAGACTGAAACACTCCTCTCTGATTTCTGGAGGCCGACGAAACTGAGAGAGGGGAGAAAAAGAATGATTACAACTGAAAATCCAAGTCAACTGATTCTGCTATCGATTACGGTCACCACCTGTGGCCCTCTGGCTAGATACAGGCTGCGGATTCCTTTCTTTTGGTCGACACAGAGTTTTAAAAGAAGCCGAATTTGAGGGCAATCAGGCGGAACACACCCCCTCGCTCCTCCACCCCAGTCTACACCTTTCCCTATTGTCTGACACCTAACTACTGCACATGTTTGGGCTAACTGCCGCTTCCTGAATGCACTGGGGTTTGTAACCCCTGAGTCACACGTGGCTACCTGGGGCTCAGCACCATGCCAGGTGCTATGGGGGACGTGAGACATTGACGACATGTCTCCTATCCTCAAGGAGTTCCCTGACTTTAAATCTTATTTAGAAGTGGCTATTCATACAGGAGGATCTCTTCTAGATACCAAGCACAATGGAAACTTTTATGATGTGATTTCCCTCTCTTCAAGCCCCCCTGAAAGTCCATGTATCTTAAGCAATTTTCAGGACCAAAAACGTCTTCTTTAAAGATAACTGAGGGGCGCCTTGGTGGCGCAGTCGGTTAAGCGTCCGACTTCAGCCAGGTCCGCGATCTGTCCTTGGTTTGAGCCCGCAACGCGTCGAGCTCTGAGTGGCTCAGAGCCTGGAGCCTGTTTCGATTCTACTCCCTCTCTCTGCCCTCCCCGTTCGGCTGTCTCTCTCTGTCACAAAATAAATAGCGTTGAAAAAAAAATTAAAAAAAAAAAAAAAGATAACTGAGCCAATTTTTGAGGGATCACGGTCTTGGGGTTTTATCTATGAGGCGTGGGTTACTTATGGAAGTTTAAGAGAGAGACGGGAGAGCTACCGTCAAGGAAAAGTACAGTTGTTTCCTCCCTGCACCTTGTTGACCCCGATTTGGTTCAGCAGTCAGGTCCAAGTCCTTTCCACCCAGCGTCTCGTAGAAACCCAAGGCACCTAAGGTCGGACAGCTTGACTGCATCTTATCTGAAGACCCTTGTAAAGACCACAGAGCCATGGGCAAGACAACACATCTCACCACCCCCACTTTTGAGCAAAGTCTCGAGGTCTGAAAAGGTAGCCCCTGTCGCCCTCCGTGGAAAAAATAAGTGAAACAAGCGTGCCACATACAAAACTGTCACACACACACGTTGATCTTTCTTCCCTAGCTTCTTCCTCCCCTGGGGGCTGCTCTATCAGATATGAAAAGGGCTCTATCTAGACCCACTCTTCTGTTGGATGTAAAGGTAGCTGTGCTCCCAATGCCAAGCGGAAGTGGAGGGGGATTCAGTTTATACTTGTTCTTCTGATTCCCCACATTAGAAAACAGCTCCCATCGTCTCACAGAAAAGCTGGCTCTTCTTCTTGCTTGCCGGAAAGGCACAGGCTCTGCCATTATGGACGACAACCAGCCCCCAAGATTGGAAAACTGCTGTTCCCGGCTCACTCGCGAGCTCCCCGGGACGAGGACCCACTGGCCCACCTGGTGTGAGGTCCATCCCCGCCTTCTCGTTGCAGCCCTGCAGGGAGTCCAGGGTGCGGGTGACCTGGCTGGCAAAGTCCTCCCCTCCGTTCATGCACTCCCTCTGCAGGTGGTGGCGCAAGTCCGTGATGTCGTACTCATAACCGTCCAGGATGGGTGTCTCCCGGATGCTCAGGGTGCCGCTGGAGTTGTGGCCCTGCACGCGGGCATTGCGCAGGCTCTCCCGCCCATGCCCGCCGATCAGCACGGAGGGAATGTAGTGAATCTCGTTGGCTGCCTCAGCGCTGGCACTCTTCTGGGGCTGGGGCACCCGGCGGCGTTTACACCAGCGTCGACGAGTGTACAGGATCATCACCAGGCACAAGATGGACAGCAGGAGAGCGATCATGCCACCCTGGGAAGAGACAGCAGACAGACGTGGGAAGATGGGCGAGCTCGTCCCGCGGAGAGGCACCGGCCCTCGCCCTACCACCGTCCATCACTCACTCACTCACTCACTCACTCCTTTATTCATTCAGATGCAGGAGGCACTTAGAGTTGAGCCTCGCTCAGGGGCACAGGGACAGTCTGCCGTGATGGGTGCTTAAGGAAAATGGAGAAAAATGGGATTGCGATGACCGGTGCTTCATTTAAGTGATCCACAGTTGCTTCTGGCTTAGCAAACAATTTGAAAGAGAAGTCTTTCGATGTGTGTGTGTGTGTATCACTTCAGCTGTAGAAACAGGGGAGGGGGTTAGTTTGTTAAGGCAAATCTGTTACACATAAAGCTGGTTTCCAGCCAACTTTTAGCAGCAGGATGGCATCTCATTTCTTCCTGTCTCGCATCTTAAAATCAGCCATGTATAGGTCCTAACTCCGGCGACATCCGGGCTATCCTCAGCCTAACCTGAAATGTTTCCATTGGAGTAGGGGAAGGCCATCGACCAATCCAAAGCTACGTTTATGTCCCTTAGGCATGCACAAGCAAGCGTGCGGAGGACCCTCACCATTTGCACGTGACTTTTTGGATCCCTAAGGCTTTAGGGGACAGCTTGCTCCCACACACGCGGCCTTGAGTGATCGCTCATTCTTCTACAGTTCGAGGGAGGGACCGAGACCCGTGTCCTAGGGCCAGGCTCGCAAAGGCGTTTCCTTCGGAACCTTCTTATGCTCCCAGCCCATCCTCTGAGGCCTCTCCTTAAACACCAGGACTCCACTCGGTTGTCTAGCAGTGGCCAACACGCCATACTCGGCGACAAAGAACACCTGACGTCGACATCCACGGGGGCAGGGTTTGGAGGAAACCCACTGTTCCCCAGGGCTCGGCGCGCATAAACCTTCCCGTGCACGATCTGTATTCAGTCCCTTGATTTTGGTCAATATCCCTCCAAACCTATTTCACTAGGTGGGGGGCGTGCCAGATGGCTCTGCCCTCGACTCGGGCTTCGGTCACTGCCACCCCGTCACATAGGCTAGAGATGAAAACCCTCTATTAATTCCCAGTGGCCCACCTACCCCAGGCTGGGTCAAGATCATTCTTTCAAACGCACCAACAGGAGCCTTTTCCAGTCTCGTGATAACTCTATCTTGAATTTATAAAGTTCCTCTCCCCATACATCTTCCCATTTACCCTCCCTCCCTGACCATCACCTGGAGCAAAGGAGCACACGTCCCCGTGCGTACACACACCGTGTGCTCAGGCACAGAGCAGCTGACACAGGAAGCAACAGAGTCAGCTGCCAGGTGACAGACAAGTCACGTCAGGTGGCTTGTTGGGGACAGACACTGGCCGCCAGGTTCTTCAGACTTTTCTTTTCTCTGTTGGAACCCTTTCTCCTGGTGAAATCTCTCAGGCAAGTACACAGGAAGCGTAAATATGAAGCTGCCTGGGCTGCTGCGTGGGTGGGGGTCCTGACACAAGTATTCTGGGTCCTGGCTGACCGCCACCTCCCTGCAGCCCGCCAGCCCTGCAGACACATCCGGGGGGCGGCACGCCCAGGGGAGCAGCACGCCCAGGGGGCCGCAAACAAACCAGAGCCTGCCCCCCATTTGCTGGAGTCCCACCCGCTAGTTTTTTCAGCAGGCCCTTTATCTGGGAGTCAGACCCGCCATCCTTTCCTTCACCCCAAATTGAAACCGCAACAATGGGCAATTAAGCCACACAGAAAGAATAACTTCCCGAGTGAGAGGAGTTGTCAGACATTGAATTAGGCTAGTGAAAACGAGAGGTAATTTTATTCCCTAAAGAGCCGTGAGAGCAATATAAACATCAATCTCCCAGGAAGGGCTGAAACACCACCTTTCCCGCTCACATTGAGGTATTCGGGGGGCCCCTCCGTGCTTCCCCTCAGTTTCTCCCGGTTTTGATCGGAGGCAGGCCGAAGGTTCATCCCCCGTATTATGCAGTAATCAAGCAAGAACAGTTGTCCATCCTGGGGCTGTCCCCGTGTATCAGACGTTTGTTCTAAATGCTCTGACTTCTAACTGCTGCTGGAGGCAGGTCAACTATTTCTCCATTTTACATCTGAAAAGCCTAAGGCACAGAGGTTAAGTAACTTGTCCAAGGGCACACAGCAAAGAAACAGTTCTGGAATGGGAACCAAAGGCCTCCCCTCCCATGGCAGAGCCTCTGTTCTTAACCACCAGGCTCCAGTGATGCTGTACGGGGTTGCTCACTGGAAACACACACACCCTGGCTTCTGTCTCACAAATCGTAAGCGGGTGGGGTGGGGGGGGAGTGTGGATAATCCAACTTAGATCTACCCTCCCTTCTCGAACAAAACACAGAAACTATTCAAAGTGCACATGTAGCTGACAGCGGGTCCAAAGAGGCATCGTCCTAAACAAAGGACCTTTCACGGGGCGCCCACTAAGCGTCCAAACCCAAGATTAATTAATTAATTAACCCAACCCTCACGTTTCAAGAGTTCTGTGCGAAAATAAGAAAGCGCGCCTCACACATCACCACAAGCCTGGAGGATATCATTAGGTCTCAATTTAGTTAAATTTCCACGAAGAATTTGTTTTCTCTTTCAACTGTGAGACCCACTGAAAACCTCTAGGTTCAGCTCCTCCTTTTCTGATGAAGAAACTAATGCCCAGAGAAGCTATAAAACCCGACAGCTCCAAAGTGGTTCTAGACCTGATCCTTTCTCATGGCACCGCTCTGTTAGGTTCATCTAAAATTCCCTAGGGGCACCCGGGTGGCTCAGTTGGTTGAGCTTCTGACTCCTGACTGTGGCTGAGGTTATGATCCCAGGGTCGTGAGATCGAGCCCCGTGTCGGGGCTGTGCATGGAGCCTGCTTGAGATTCTCTCTTTCTCTCTCTCTCTCCCTCTGCCCCTCTCCCCCGCTCACATTTTGTCTCTAAAATAAAAATAAATAAATAAATAACATTCCTTTTACCAGGTGTGGCTCTAGACACTCCATTTGGAATATTTTATATTTACTTATTTATTTAATTAAATATAATGCATACACTTTTTTTATTTTTTAAGTATTTTTTATTTATTTTTATTTTTTAAATACAATTTACTGTCAAGTTGGCTAACATACAATGTATACAGTGTGCTCTTGGTTTTGGGGGTAGATTCCCATGATTCGCTTACATACAACACCCAGTGCTCAAGTGCCCTCCTCAATGCCCATCACCCATTTTCCCCCTCTCCCCCCCACCCCATCAACCTTCCCCCCATCAACCTTCAGTTTGTTCTCTGTATGTAAGAGTCTCTTATGGTTTGCCTTCCTCCCTCTCTGTTTGTAACTATTTTTTTTCCCTTCCTTTCCCCCACGGTCTTCTGGTAAGTTTCTCAAGTTCCACATATGAGGCAAGCATGATATCTGCCTTTCTCTGACTTACTTCGTTTAGCATAATACCCTCCAGTTCCATGCACGTTGCTGCACACGGCAGGATTTCATTCTTTCTCACTGCCAAGTAGTATTTATTTATTTTAAATAATAACTTATAGGGAGCTAGAACACAAGTTTCTGATTGGCTAAGCCAGTGTAATTAGCATATCTAACCTTGCTTTATTGAAATGCTTCCCCTGCTTAGAGTCAGTGATCCTAACAACCTTGGGTTTTTCTTAATCGGTTATTAGTAATGGGCGCCAGCCACTAGGTGAGGCTCGGCATAGACAAGAAAAGGGACTGTCGACGTAGGTATTCAAGTTGTGGTAAGGTTTCTCTGCTTCTACAACCCAAATTGGTGGCAGATGTCACAAGCCTTAGCAAGGACTTACTAATCGTGGATTCATACATAAATAATCACAAAAATAATGTTATATGCTATGAATATATAATAAAAACATTTTGTCATAATAATAATTTGTAAAGTCACTATACACAAATTCCTCTGAACTGCTTATCTGCTCTATCCAGTAAGAAGGTCCTGGGTAGGGAAAAATGTAGAGACCCTCCACTATACTAGGAGAAGCCACGGATATAGCCACCTTGATAACTTTCCTTCTACAGTGATGACATGGAAATCCAGTGCTCACGTTCGATCGTTTTTGCATTCCTGTGATAAACCATAGTTTTTGCTTTTAGCATTATTTTCAACCAATTTCCACAGAGAATTTTAAGCATTTTCGATTTAAGTCGGAGCTGCTCTAAAATTTTTCTTTCAAGGGATCTAACAGAACAAAGAGGTGGCAGATGAAATGGAAAGAGTGCCCGAACCAGGAGCTACAGCGAGGAGCTTCCTGGTAACCAAGTCAAAAAGGGAAAGGCAAGCTGCACACATCTTGTCTGATGATAAAATTCAGTGGGAGGAACAAACTTCCTCCATCCATTTGATCCCAGACAAGACGTCATAATGGCGACGTCATCACACGAGGCTTTACAGAAAGCATGCAGGAATTCACACATGAGCTCCTGGCTTTGCATTTCTGTATCACCTTAGCTGTGCTCAGAGGGTATTCTTCATTTATGTGTGTTAGCTTCAATTTTCACGGTATGCAAAACGAAGCAAAACAAGGCAAAAGCATTAAGGTACATCTGGACCCAATGACAGGTAACAAGTTGCAAACTCTGAACATTCGAGAAAAAATAACAATTACTGCAAGATATGAAACTGTTTTGCTCTTTATTCATCTTTTCATGAGTTTTCTGATTATTCTATTGATTTTTCTCAAAACTATTAACATTTTATAACTAGAAGCATGTTTGGGGTAGATGAGAACTCCACATCCGTTAACAAGCTGCATGCAAAAACAGTGGCATTTAAAAATATGTTTTCTTTAGAAATCAATAAATCATTTCTCCTGGCTTTAATAGAGATCAAAAAAATGAAACCAGCTTTTATTTTATTATGACACTGACATTTTTCAGCACTTACCTGAGAGAACAGTATGATGTTGGTCAGATCCCTTACAGATTTTGAAACCTTTGTGTAACAACGTTGTACATAACACT